TTAAGGCCAGCAAGGTTGGTTTAAAGAGATTTAAGAAGCGTAGTGGCATACATAGTGTGATAAGGCATGGTGAGGCTGCCACTTCGGACCAAAAAGCAGCTGAAAAATATGTGCAGGAATTCAAGAAGTACATAGACAGTGAAGGACTGAAACTGAACAAGTGTTTAATTGTGATGAAACGGGCCTGTTTTGGAAGAAAATGCCAAGCATGGACCCACATACTGAGGAGAAAAGGGACTCCCAGGACATAAGCCTAAAGAAAGACAGGCTTACTTTGTTGATGTGTTCCAATGCTACTGGTGATTGCAAAGTGAAGCCTTTATTAGTGTAAACACTCTGAAACTCCCAGAGCGGGTTTAGGCAAAAAGAATGTCCTCAAGGAGAATTTGTGTGTGCTGTGGAGGGCAAACAGTAAGGCATGGGTCACTAGGGACTTTTCTATGACTGGTTACACCATGCATTTGCCCCCAATATGAAAGATTACCTAACTGGAAAAGAATTAGAACTTAAGTGCCTCCTGGTGGTTAGACAATGCCTCTGGTCATCCTACAGACGTGGCAGAGCGACTTTATGGGGACATGAAATTCATTAAGGTGAAGTTTTTGCCTCCTAATACCACTCCTCTCCTGCCAGCCCATGGACCAGCAGGTTATTGCAAACTTCAAAAAACTGTACACAAAAGCTCTGTTTGAAAGGTGCTTTGTAGTGACCTCAGAAACTCAACTGACTCTAAGAGAGTTTTGGAGAGAGCAATTTAATATCCTCAATTGTGTAAACCTTATAGGTAAGGCTTGGGAGGGAGTGATAAGAAGACCTTGAACTCTGCTTGGAAGAAACTGTGGCCAGAATGTGTAGACAAAAGGGGTTTTGAAGGGTTTGAGGCTAACCCTGAGAGGATTATGCCAGTTGAGGAATCCATTGTGGCATTGGGAAAGTCCTTAGGGTTGGAGGTTAGTGGGGATGATGTGGAAGAGTTGGTGGAGGAGGACAATGAAGAACTAACCACTGATGAGCTGATAGATCAACTTCAACAGCAAGAGGCCAGACCTGAGGAAACTGGTTCAGAGGAGGGAAGAGAGAAATTGAAGAAGTTGCCTACTACAAAGATTAAGGAAATCTGTGCAAAGTGGCTTGAAGTGCAAACCTTCATGGATGAAAATCACCTTCACACAGCTATTGCAAGCCGTGTTGGCAACCTGTACACTTGACAATGTTGTGAAACACTTTAGGGAAGTCATAAAGGAACGAGAGGTACAGGCCACTATGGACAGATATGTTGTGCGACAGAAGTCCAGTGACTCTGAAGCTGGTCCTAGTGGCATTAAAAGAAGAAGGGAAGTAACCCCAGAAAAGGACTCGACACCTCAAGTCTTAATGGAAGGGGATTCCCCTTCTAAACACTAACACTCTCTCTCCCCTCCTCCCATCCCATCAATCATCACCAGATCTTCAATAAAAGTAAGTGTCATGTAATTGTGCATGCCTTTTTCAGTTTGTGTGTATTAAAATTAACATTTCATGTGGTAAAAAATTTTTTTTTTTCATACTTTTGGGTGTCTTGCACGGATTAATTTGATTTCCATTATTTCTTATGGGGAAAATTCATTCGCATACCGAACATTTCGCATAACAACCAGCCCTCTTGCACGGATTAAGGTCGCTATGCGGGGGTCCACTGTATTTGTGAGGCTAATTACAGAAATAGAGTAAAGTGGACCCCCGGTATTCGATATTAATCCATTCCTGAGAGTTCATCGAATACCGAAAATATCGAAAAGCGAATCAATTTTCCCCATAAGAAATCATGGAAATCAAATTAATCCGTGCAAGACACCCAAAAGTATGAAAAAAAAAATTTTACCACATGAAATATTAAGTTTAGTGCAATAGAATAATTACAATAACAACAATAACAATAGAATAATAACAATAGAATAATTGACACTTACCTTTAATGAAGATCTGGTGATGATTGATGGGATGGGAGGAGGGGAGAGTGTCAAAGTTGTTACTGTTTAGAATGGGAATCCCCTTCCATTAGGACTTAAGTTAGCAAGTCCTTTTCCGGAGTTACTTCCCTTCTTCTTTTAATGCCACTAGGACCAACTTGAGAGTCACTGGACTTCTGTTGCACAACATATCTGTCCATAGAGGCCTGTACCTCTCGATATTACACATTGTCAGTGTAATAGTCACCAGCACGGCTTGCAATACCTGTGTTAGGGTGATTGTCATCAAAAAACGTTTGCACTTTAAGCCACATTGCACACATTTCCTTAATCTTCGGCATTTTCTTCCAAAACAGGCCTGTTTCGTCGCAATTAAACACTTGCTCAGGTTTAAATTCTCCACTGTCTATGTAATCCTTGAATTCCTTCACATATTTTTCAGCTGCTTTTTGGTCCGAACTGGCAGCCTTACCATGCCTAATCACACTATGTATGCTACTACGATTCTTAAATCTTTTAAACCAACCTTTGCTGGCCTTAAATTCACTCACATCACCACTAGTTGCAGGCAATTTCTTTACCAAATCGTCATGCAACTGCCTAGCCTTTTCACAAATGATCGCTTGAGAGATGCTATCCCCTGCTATCTGTTTTTCATTTATCCACACCAATAGCAGTCTCTCAACATTTTCTGACACTTGCGGTTGCTGTTTCGTAATCACAGTTGCACCTTTTGCAAGAACAGCTTCCTTGATTGCCTTTTTCCTGGTCACTATAGTAGAGATGGTTGATTGGGGTTTACTATACAACCTGGCTAGCTCCGACATACGCACTCCAGTTTCGTACTTTGCAATTATCTCTTTCTTCATTTCATCAGTCATTAGCACCTTTTTTCTCGAAGGGTTGGCACTAGAAGCTTTCTTGGGGCCCATGGTGACTTATTTTGCAGAAACAAGCACCAAAAACAGCGATAATATGGAATGTACCAAATGTATCCTTAGATGCACGCACACTGCCTGGCTTGTAAACACTGGCACACACAGGGCAGTTCAGGCCACACGTGGACACGTCTCGTATGAATCGCATCGAATACCGGGTTTTCGATTGGATACCAAGGCAAAATTTTTGTGTTAAAATGCATTGAATATCGGATTTATCGGATACCGATGCCATCGAATACCGGGGGCCCACTGTATATAAAAACATAAAAAATCATAATACACTACAGAATGTAAAGAAATATTAAACTGTTTACATAAAGTGTATATGTACTTACACACTTGGAGCAGAGATGGTGGGGGAGGTTGAAGGTGAGGGATGTTGAGGGTGGGGGAGGTTGAAGGTGAGGGATGTTGAGGGTGGGGGAGGTTGAAGGTGAGGGATGTTGAGGGTGGGGGAGGTTGAAAGTGAAGGATGTTGAGGGTGCGGGAGGTCGAGGCTACGGCGTATGATGTCAGTGGCCTTGTAAACCTCCAACAACAACATTGTCTTGTTTGATCGCTGAACTTAACTGATACAATTTGTTTTTTTAATCACTGAACATAACTGATACAGCTTTAGTATCTGCATTTCGTAGATGTACTAAGCTTGTATTGTCTGGCTAAGTCTATGGAAATCATCATCTTTTTCTTCTCAGCACTGCTCTTTGCACTTATTTTCTTAGGACCCATGGTTAGAAAAAAGATATTTGGCCAAATGACTAAAAAAATATGCAAGCAAGCACAAGAGAACTGCTCCCACACTGATGTAAACATGTGTAATGCTTACTGGATGTTTTGGCATCAGCTGTGCCAACTAGCAGCAGCATTCTGAATTATTATTACGTACGTATTATGTATTATTATTATTATTGTTGTGTATCTTTATACGTATACATATGCTTCTAAGCTGTTGTATTCTGAGCACCTCTGCAAAAACAGTGATTATGTGTGAGTGAGGTGAAAGTGTTGAATGATGATGAAAGTATTTTCTGTTTGGGGATTTTCTTTCTTTTGAGTCACCCTGCTTCGGTGGGAGACGGCCAACTTGTTAAAAAAAATAATAATAATAATATCATTATTAATTTAGGGAACTGAAGCTGTATCGTAATTATTATAATACATAATAATAATACGTAATATTATTATTATTATTATTTGTTTTTTTAGCAAGTAACTCATGTTTCACCATGATGTACAGACGTGTAAGTTCACGGCACTATAAAATATTGTATAATTATATTATTACTATCAATAAAGGTTATCTACCTATCATATTTATTCCAGAATAATATTGGGTATAACATAAATAACATAGATGCATGATAAAGATGCCCAAATTAATAAAAACTGACATTATATAAAGAGGTATTGAAGGGTGGAGGGCTGGGAGGGATAAAAAAAACAAAAGTGACCGCAACCCTAACAGAAAAGGTTACGCACTTGAAGGGTAACTATAGAAAATCACTTGCCCTATTCAAAGACTGAAAAAAAATGCGATTTTCTTGAAAAAAAAATCCTAAGCAATCAGCTATGCTCATGTTTCCTGGAATATCTCAGAAGTAAGTCATTGACCTATTTTATGTTGTATCACCATTAATAATAAACAGATTGAAAGGAATTTACCAGCAAACATAAAACTGAATGTTTTAATTTTGGGTTGTGACACTTTTGAAGTGTCAGTAAGGGGTGATTCCTTGATTAGCGACGAAATCGTTTACTGACAGGGTCTTAGGCCCCTAACTCCATCGTTAAGTGAGGAGAGGCTGTACTAGAGTTTTTTGCGGCTTTTGATTAAACTCTACAGTACTTTATTTGTTTATGCCTATTAGGAAAATTTCCCAGTGTTAAAAGGTAATGTAAGTGAAGAACAAAAAGGCACAATACTGTGACTGGAACAATACACAAATAGCCAGCACGTAGCAGAAAGAAGCTTAAGATGACGTTTCGGTCCGACTTGGACTAAGTTGGACCAAAACGTCCTCATAAGCTTCTTTCTCCTAAGTGGGGGTTATTTGTGTAATGTGAGTGAGCTGTATTAAATTTTTTAATTGGTATTTTTCTTCTTCCACAGGCAGATATATTTTCAGATCTGGAGAATACTAATGTGTCTCTACAGCCACAGTTGCCCGGTACCCCTCCTCCAACAACCTTGTCTGAATATCCACCTAGTCCAACATATACCTTCCCAACTCAGTCTGCTCCAGAGGACTCCCTCATGATGGTACCTGATATGAGCTCTGTCAATGAAGGATTCACTCCTCTCCCTCAAGCCTCTCCACTTCAGCGTAACCTTGGATCAAGCCTCAATTATGAAGGAAACTATCACAGTCCACAGTACCAGACATCATCACACTTCACACCACTCTCACCTACTCATGCTACGCTCTCATATGGTAATGGACACCAGCAAGAAGAGAGTCCACTGAATTTTGCTGCTTATATGAAGTATGAATGAAACCAGTTACATCAAGCTTCTTTAAATTTTCTTGTCATTTCTTTCTCTAAAAGTAAATTTAACTGATAAATCTTTCAGAGAAAGCTCCACATATCTCTAAACATTTCAGAAATTCCTACAAAAGTTTGTTTAAACCACTGCAAAACTAAACATGTGAATCCCTTTTCATTTGTAACTTTCTTCTTTTATAGCACTGGTTTTACACACAGTCGCAGGCTACTCATATTTGGACTCAGTCATCATTTGGAGCCTTGGTATACCCATTGTGCTAGTGCTGGCAATACCAGAACATATAAATAAATGGTTCATAGAACCAACAAGTTGATAAATTAGACACACGTGCAACATTTGGGTATCTTTATTGTAGAAATGTTTTACCACACAGTGGCTTCATCAGTTTAGTACAAAGAAGAATGGTGAAGAACAGGAGTTTGAGGTAATCAGTCCCTCAGCATATGCTGTATTCTTATGAAGATTAATGGACTGATTACATCAACTCCAGGCTGAGGGACTGATTGCCTCAAACTCCTGTTCTTCACCATTCTTCTTTGTATTGGACTGATGAAGCCACTATGTGACAAAATGTTTCCACAATAAAGATACTCAAGTGTTGCACATGTGTCTAATTTATCAATACCAGAGCATCTTCTTTTGTCTTTTGATATCAATTTGATTTCTTGAATTCTGTCACACACTAATTTCACTTGAATTATTTAATGACTTTTGTCACAATCATTGTACCATAATTATTAATATCCTCCTTGCAGGAAAGCTCTAAACCTGTAGGGGTAATACAGTGCCTAGGAAATTAAGTATAAAAGGATTTGATCTAAAGTTAAGGAGGTAGCTCTAATTCCTTGGATCAAGAGCCCTTTGCCAGCATTAACCTTTTCAGGGTCAGTCCCGTATATGTACGGCTTGAGACCCAGTGTCTGTCCCATATTTATACGCCAAAATTCTAGCGCCTTCAAATCTGGTGGAAGAAAGCTGGTAGGCCTGCATGTGAGAGAATGGGTCTGCATGGTCGGTGTGCACAGTATAAAAAAAAATTCTGCAGCACACACTACATAATGGGGAAAAAAACTCCAACCGTGTTTTTTATTTAAAACAGCGACTTTGCAGTGTATTTTTGTGTGGTACTTATGATTGCATTCTCGTTTTCTTGGTCTCATTTGATAGACTGGAAGATATATTACAGAAATAGAGATGATTTTGATTGGCTTCATGATGAAAAGTACCTTGATATTGAGCTCAAAGTAACGGAAATGTTAAATTTTTGCCGATGTTCTAGACTAAACTGGACCTTATTTTGAAATCGGCATCTTTTGAAATTTGTGTGAAATTGGCCAAATTGCCAATTTCTGACCACTTTATTGGATAGTTGAAATCGGTAAATGGGTGGTTTCTTGTGCTCAGCCGATAGAACAAATGTAGTTCTACCGAAATAGCTATGACTGAAACAATGGAATTGGCCGAAAATAGGGCTCAGAGTGGGCAAAATCGCTGATACGTAAATATTGCTGATATCGCTAACTTTGCGAGAGCATAATTTTGTAAGTTTTACATCACATTTCGTACTTTTAATGTCATTACCATCAGGAAATAATTCTCTATCATTTCATAAAATCTTTTTTTTGGGGTGGGAAATTTTTCGACTCTGAGAGTGAGTCAAGGATTGGGGGTCTCGACCCTGAAAGGATTAGGGCACTTCCCTGGAAGGAATTATACTTCAGTTCATTTTCAGTACAACTTATATCCAGAAATGTTGTGGCTGAAAGTTTGTAATATTTACAATATTTGTAGAAATCTTACCAAGAGTAAAGATAAGGTTAATTTAGAGTAAATTGTATAGGAGGAATTATAAAAGTTGCAAGTCAAACAGAGAAATAATCATGATGAGAAATTGATTGTGACTCGCATTTAGTATAATTAAATTGGTCAGGCATAGTATTATATACCATTTTGTTTTAGATAAAACTATGCATTTTTGCCTTCTAATTATTTAATGCACTGGATCACAATGGTTTGGTCTTATGAGACCATTAAACCAAATGACATTTTGTATATATGTGGAGAGAGTGCTTCATCATATGCAACAGCTGAATGATAGCATAAAGTGTTAATGATTCCAGGTGCAAGTAGCTTGTAAATGTTGTGAATGAGGGTGTGTAATATATTGCTTTGACATATCACTGTTGTAGTTACCTGATACTAGGTTTATTGTAGGATCATGGGTCTTGGTCATTGGAGCATGAGCCAGGTACGTGCGTGCTGGCTACCAGTAAGCTGATGTGAAGGTAGTAAACATAATGAGAGCATACTCGATGTGTATTGAAGAGATGTCTTGCTGGTGGTGAAATCTTGGCTTATAAATGACCCATTAGAAGAGGATGACGAAGAATCAACTTCAGAAGATTTGCTAGAGAAGATCAATTACCAGTTAGGAGGTGAGGATTAGGAAGAACCTGAAGATAAACATTTAACACTATAACACTTATAGTATGCAAGCAATTTAATATTACTGGTAAAGTTGAACACTTTATAACTGAAGAGGACCCTGACAAATCTCTCATATGTAAGAAGCATTACATCATTTGCATGATTTATACAGGTACTCCTTCACTTGCAATGAGTTTACATTCCAATTAGCCCATTGTAAGTTAAATACATCGTAAGTCAAATATGAACACTATATGATAAATAAGTAAATAAATAACTACTGTCACCATATTAGTAAATAAACAAATAATTACTGTAAGTACCAGTATTAAAAAGTAAATAAATGAATACAAGTTTAGCCTCAGTGATGAGGTTAAACCATAGAACTGATGAAGAAAAAAAGGTGAGTGGTGTGCTGAGCTATCTGTGGAGACAAAATTATGTTATCCATGGAGGCAAAGTAGGAAATGTATGAGAGTATAGTGGTACCAACACTCTTATATGGGTCTGAAGCATGGGTTGTAAATGCTGCAGCGAGGAGGCGGCTGGAGGCAGTGGAGATGTCATGTCTAAGGGCAATGTGTGGTGTAAATATTATGCAGAAAATTTGTAATGTGAAAATTAGGAGTAGGCATGGAGTTACTAAAAGTATTAGTCAGAGGGCTGAGGAGGGGTTGTTGAGGTGGTTTGGTCATTTAGAGAGAATGGAATGAAGTAGAATGACTTGGAGAGCGTATAAATCTGTTGGGGAAGGAAGGCAGGGTAGGGGTTGTCTCTGAAAAGGTAGGAGGGAGGGGATAAAGCAAGCTTTGTGGAGAAGAGGCTTGGACTTCCAGCAAGCATGCGTGAGTGTGTTAGGAGTGAATGGAGACGAATGGTTTTTGGGACCTGACAAGTTGTTGGAGCATGAGCAGGGTATCCTAAAGGAGGGGTTTAGGATATTGGCAGTTTGGAGGGATGTCTAAACTATTATATCTGAGTGCTTCTTCAAAGAAAGTGATTATGTATGAGTAATGGTGAAAGTGTTAAATGATGATGAAAGTTTTTTCTTTCTTTTCAAGTTTTTCTTTCTTTTTGGGTCACCCTGCCTCGGTGGGAAATGGCCAGCGTGTTAAAAAAAAAAATTAACCGCTTAAAGTTTGATGACTACTGAATTTACATTGCTATGGCACCATCATAAAGTTGATATATAAGTTAACCCATCGTAAAGCGAGGAGCATCTGTATTTCATAAGCCTCTGGTGGTGTGTATAGCTCTGATGCACATGCTGCAGATGATTTTTAAGAGTTTATTTGGGTAGGCCAGGACGATTTTAACATTCTAGTATATGTGGTCGAATTTCTTAGTACTGCTTTATTTTTTGGTGATATGGATGGATTACCTTATTTTCTGGCAAACAAAGCTCCCCAGTATCTAGGATGCCCCGCAGTTCTGATTGGCTAAATTTTGGAAAAAAAAAAAAAAGATAAACAATACTTTGGCCTTCAAGACTCTGGGTAAATTTTTGAGATTTATTTTGGGGAAAAAATAGCGTCTTCGATGCTGTAAAATATATTATCTTGACTGAGTTGCTTTCTGTTTTTATAATTTTGTTTAAAAGTTTTTGGTTCTTGTTGTATGAACCAGTGTGGGTAACCTGTGTGTGTAAATTAGGTGTACAAGGTTGCCTCTTCTTGGTCTAGACTCAAGACATTGGGATATAATGCTCTTCTTAATGGTATCCTCGTGACAACCAAAATAGCATACTGTACGTAGTTGACCGCACTTGTATTTCTCATAGACAGCAAATTCTGATGCACAGTTGCCTCTGATGATGAAAACGTTAAGAGATGAGAGTTGTTAATTTTCATAGTGTACCCTAAATTTGATGCTGAGTGTGAGATTAGCAAGCTGACTGAAGAAGTTGAAATCTCACAACATGTCATTCCAGGTGGTGAAAATATTGTCTATAACTTTTTTTTTTCCAACAAACCAGCCATATCCCACTGAGGCAGGGTGACCTAAAAAGAAAAACGTAAGTTTCTCTTTTTAAATTAGTAATGTATACAGGAGAAGGGGCTACTAGCTCCTCACCCCTGGCATTTTAGTTGCCTGTTATGACACGCATAGCTTACGGAGGAAGAATTCTGTTCCACTTTACCATGGAGAAATAATATACACTTGAGAAGTGATCGCGAGGTGCCTCGGATCACACGAGCATGTATAGCCATTTAACCACATTGGCTGATCAATGTACGTATGTAATTTTTTTTTTTTTAGCATGTCGGCCGTTTCCCACAGAAGCAGGGTGACCCAAAAAGAAAGAAAAAACTTTCATCATTAAACATTTTGACTATTGCTCATACATAATCACTGTCTTTGCAGAGTTGCTCAGATATGACAGTTTAGACATCCCTCCAAACTGCCAGTATCCCAAACCCCTTCTTTAAAGTGCAGGCATTGTACTTCCCACTTCCAGGACTCAAGACTTTAGAAGTACAGTGCTCCATATAAAGGTTGGCCAGTACCAAAGAAGAGAGGGTACCCATACTACAACCACTATTCTGTTTGCAATAGCTATTCTGGTATTAAAATATATTGTTGGAGATCATTATCATAATGTCATTGCAGAAGATGTAGTTGGGCCTGGTACAGGGACTGGATAATGGGCACTGTCTCTGATGTCCATATCAAATCCACACAAATTTTCATAGGCAACAACTCAAAAATGTTAAAGTCTTGGTGTAGTCAGTGCATTCTGTAGAAGTTTTGAGGTATTACAAAAAATATCTTATCAGAATTGCCTTCCTTTACTTTTACTTTAATATCATTGCACTAACAAAATTGCCTATTGCAAATAAAAGTGTGGATGCAGTACAGACAGCCCCCTTTCCAGACCCCGCGGCCTGGCTGACAAAGCTCTCGCTTCACACGTGGAGGGCCCGGATTTGATTCCCGACGGGGCGGAAACATTTCGATGCTTTTCCTTGCACCTGTTGTCC